TTCCGCTCCATTTTCAATAGTCGTTTAAAAAAAATTGGGTTTTCGTTCAGATTTTTCATTAAGACTCAGCCCCTTTTCGCAATGTAAAAAATATAATATACGGCATTCGACGATTGGTTCTAATGAGTTCAAATAGACCGGCTCAATTAATAAGACGAGATTGACTGGATCCAATCATGTTAAAGTAATTTTTGAGCCTGAATAAGTTACCGCTTACGCTTTAATAACACTGCATAAATCAACCATTGACTGTTTCAGCTCGGCCAAAGTGGCAATTGTCAGAAATTCTGATGTTGTCATCCCTTTCCACATGTGAGACCTGGACGTCAGTATTGTTTAGATGACAAAATATATTTTTACTATCACAAAAATCAACATTTTCTAATATCAAAAATATTTCCAAGAGACTTAAGCCCTGAACATTCAATTTGTGTGATACCGCAACAATCCGATCTTGAATATATCGAATCAATTCTCACCAAAAACAATGAGCATATAAAACTTATTTGTGTTACCACCGATTCCAGAGATTTCGAAAATAACGTGAATAACCTTCTAAGAAATATCACCAAATGCGAAAAGGTTTTAACATCATGTTTAGAAGGTTTGGCAGTTGCCCATTCATACGGAATACCTGCTGCAGCTATTTCTTTTATTAAGAGTAGCAGCGGAAACTTCAAATTTCGAGACTACTACGAATCTTTAGGCATTTACATGAGCAATGCAAGCATCAGGCGGATGCTTATAGACACAATAATCATGGGAAACTTGAGTTTTTTGACAGAATTGATAGACCGTACTCCGCAGCCAAAACATCCTTTAGATACTGACTCAATCATAGAAACATTTCCATTTCCTATCAGATATCACTGAAAACTTGAATGATTTTCAAAATTAAGTTATTTACACTATTTTTTTTGGGATTTCGTAGTTTCATTTTTTCAAGTGTCAGTGAACGAAACCAAGACAATTATTAAGGCCATGTTGTTTTTGTTTTCGTTTTTTTTTTCAGGAAAAACTCTCAAAAATATTCCGGCACAATTTGGATTTTTCGCGGCTATAATTTTGATTTTTGAGCTCTATTTTAATTCATTTGCTAAAAAAAGGCTATTTACGCTCTGCATTAACAAATTTTTAAAAACTTTTTTCATTTTTTGCACTAAAAATTTTGAATATTTTTGAAAGTGTTTTTGTCAGAGAAGCGCTAAATAAAGCTTCCAAATTTAGTTTTCTTTTTTACTAAACTCAAGTTCTATAGCCAAAATAAAATTGGCTAGTTTTTATATATCACGAACGTTATTTGATCGTTTTACTCGCTCGTAATGTGACTAAAATTTTAAACCAGTTTTTGTTCACGTCTGAAAAAGTTTTTTTTTTATCATTAATCGTTTGACTCAGTTCGATGTTTATTTGTGGTACCTGATTTTGCGTGGAAAACAACAAAAAAGAAAAAACCCCGAATACAAATTTCCGCTCCATTTTCAATAGTCGTTTAAAAAAAATTGGGTTTTCGTTCAGATTTTTCATTAAGAATCAGCCCCTTTTCGCAATGTAAAAAATTTAATATACGGCATTCGACGATTGGTTCTAATGAGTTCAAATAGACCGGCTCAATTAATAAGACGAGATTGACTGGATCCAATCATGTTAAAGTAATTTTTGAGCCTGAATAAGTTACCGCTTACGCTTTAATAACACTGCATAAATCAACCATTGACTGTTTCAGCTCGGCCAAAGTGGCAATTGTCAGAAATTCTGATGTTGTCATCCCTTTCCACATGTGAGACCTGGACGTCAGTATTGTTTAGATGACAAAATATATTTTTACTATCACAAAAATCAACATTTTCTAATATCAAAAATATTTCCAAGAGACTTAAGCCCTGAACATTCAATTTGTGTGATACCGCAACAATCCGATCTTGAATATATCGAATCAATTCTCACCAAAAACAATGAGCATATAAAACTTATTTGTGTTACCACCGATTCCAGAGATTTCGAAAATAACGTGAATAACCTTCTAAGAAATATCACCAAATGCGAAAAGGTTTTAACATCATGTTTAGAAGGTTTGGCAGTTGCCCATTCATACGGAATACCTGCTGCAGCTATTTCTTTTATTAAGAGTAGCAGCGGAAACTTCAAATTTCGAGACTACTACGAATCTTTAGGCATTTACATGAGCAATGCAAGCATCAGGCGGATGCTTATAGACACAATAATCATGGGAAACTTGAGTTTTTTGACAGAATTGATAGACCGTACTCCGCAGCCAAAACATCCTTTAGATACTGACTCAATCATAGAAACATTTCCATTTCCTATCAGATATCACTGAAAATTTGAATGATTATCAAAATTAAGTTATTTACACTAATTTTTTTGAGATTTCGTAGTTTCGTTTTTTCAAGTGTCAGTGAACGAAACCAAGACAATTATTAAGGCCATGTTGTTTTTGTTTTCGTTTTTTTTTCAGGAAAAAATCTCAAAAATATTCCGGCCCAATTTGGATTTTTCGCGGTTATAATTTTGATTTTTGAGCTCAATTTTAATTCATTTGCTAAAAAAAGGCTATTTACGCTCTGCATTAACAAATTTTTAAAAAAAATTTTCATTTTTTGCACTAAAAATTTTGAATATTTTTGAAAGTGTTTTTGTCAGAGAAGCGCTAAATAAAGCTTCCAAATTTAGTTTTCTTTTTTACTAAACTCAAGTTCTATAGCCAAAATAAGATTCGGGTTTGTTACAGAGTAGTCCAAACATTTCCCTGTTTGATTTTTCCCGGTTCAATACTTCTGTTTCTATACTGAGTTTTTCAGCTACCCGCTTTTGATTTTTCACAAATTGCTTTAATATTAAGAAAAGAAATAATTTTTATGTTTTCAGTGAGTGAGTTATTAAAAAATGTACATTTTTTTATGAGCAAGTTTTTTATTGTGGCTCTTGTGAATCTCAGAGGAGCTGTTAGTAGGTTTTTGCAGGCATGTCTGAGTATAATTGAGTTTAGGTCCGGGGTGGCCTTCTCACAGATTATTTTCGGATAAGATACACTGTCTGTTCGTCACGCCATCTTATTTTCGGCCGAATAGATTCGTGTAATTTCTTAGTCTAATACCAATCCTAATCTTACTCTTATATCTCCTAGTCTCAATAGATCTAGTATATACTGATTTCTAAGCTGTAATATATTTTTCTCTGGCTGAAACTATAAATAGTTTCAGCCTTACAATTTATCATAAGTTTTAGTAATGGATCATGATTGGTTAGTTCTAGTTATTTTTCAGTGATAAAAATCAAGGTATATAATAAGTAATTTAAACACTTGTTTTGAACAATTTTCCATAATTCAGTTTTGTACATTTTCAACACATTTTTTTCATCTAGAACTCTTTGCGTCGAGAAGTTTTGATATCGACTTTTGGATTTGCTGGCTGTTTTTACCCTTGCTATTGAGGCTTCAAAAGTATTCACAAAAGCGCGACTATATTGATGAAATTATTTTTGGCAAAGCTCCGGAAAGAAGTATCCAAAAATGGCTGTATGGGTTTAAATTACCTGTCAATTTGAAAACTACTGAAGGCAAAAAACCAACAAACTGAAAAAATACCATTCAAAAAAGCCTAAAAATAGTGTTGTTACGCAACATAACAACATATTTTCACTGTTGTTCTGAAATTGTTACGTCTTTCCGATGTAATTTACGTTATTTTGATACGATTCTACTTCAAGATATGACAGTTTGCAGATATGGCGTTTTTTGAATATCCATCAAATTATTCTGCTTGCTGTTTCTGCGGTTTTGATTTTAGATGCACAAAATGTTAGTTGAATATAATTTATGTCAAAATGTGTTCTCAGCCTGAAGAAAAGAAAACATTCGAACTTGTGCTCTTGCTCAAGTTTGAAGGTCGGGGTCAATTTAAGGTGTAGACTCAAGATAAGGGTCAGATGCGTTTTTAGAAGATTTTAGATACCAATTAGTTAGAACAATTTGAAGCGTGAAAAGGTTTAGAGATAATTTATTTTACAAACTTTTAAAACATTTTCCCAGTTACAATGAGTTCCTTTGTTGAGTTAATAATAAATTAATTTTATTGTTCTGACAGCTGTTTTCTAATTGCCTTCATTTCACTTTAGGCACAAAAGCCATCACTTTTTCAACTTCTTACAGTTTTGCGCGTTCCATATTTTGAAACTCTTGTCATGTTTTGAAAACTCGTGCTTCAAAACACGCAGAAAGCCAGCGTTTATCAATCACCACTTATAAAAATAAATAAATTTTCAATTAATCAATAACTGTTACTGGGTTTTTTATTTAAAATTAGAAAGCATTTTGCTGAGCTTAAATGGTTATCTTCGTATAAGTCAGCCCAAAAACAGTAAAAAGTATGTTTTTGAGGTTATACTTTCTGCTTTTGGATTCTTTTTGTCAAAACATTGAGCAGATAGTTCACTTTTTCACGTAAAATAACGTTTTCAGAACGACTACCGAATGTACGATCTGGCGCAGTAGCTCATTTGCCATATCGTTTGGTGTTTGTGGAAGCTTGAACTGAATATAGGGGCAGATTCAGTGGGGGGGGGGTGAGGAGTGCAAACGTAATCCCCCCAAGAATCCCACTACTTTGTGACCCCAAGGGTCACACCTTTGGTGCTATTCTACGGCATCTATTTTCGGCCGACCGACCCTTAACTTTTTAAAGGCACCTTTGGCGCCAATGTATACTAATTTTGATGGGGGGATGGGGCACGCAAATTCTTGGTCAAAACCTTCGAAAAGCGCGCAAAATGACCGAGAAACGGCGCAGAAAGTTTTGTCAACATAGTGTTTGTATGATTTAAGAGATCTGAGAAAATCAAGTTAACTGACCTAAAAAAAATCTTAGATCCCGCCACTATTGGCTTCAGGTATGTCTCAATTTTTAGCGTGATGTTGTTTACAATACCTACGAGTGTCAAAATAACTTGATTAAGAAACATATTTCACTTGTAGCAAACGTACGAAACGTTTCTACCAAATATTGAATAAACTATTAACAATATTTCTTTAGATCTGATCAAATTTGGAAGAATTCGTCATTGAGTCCAATTGCTTTAAACATCGCATTCACATCTTTATCAGTCCAAGGAGCCCATTGATTCGAATGGTGTTTACTGAAAAACAATTTGGCCAGCTTGAAAGCCGTATCCAAGTCCAACAGTCGGCCTCGCGGCAGATTATGCTTGCAGCACCATTCGTCCAATTGCTTCTCGTTTTTGAAGAACAAGGATCCTTGAGTGAAATATTGTGGGTTTGCGCCAAACAAAGGAGGAAGGTGAAGAGATACATTTTTTGACGAGGCGCTTATTTTCTCTGAAAGGAAAGTCAGCAAAAAATTTAAACAAGTTGAAAATAGTTTGATCTATTGATTAACACGCTTTCACTTACCTTTTTTATTCTTGCGAGATATATCAACTGTCACCTAAACAATAATATACTAAAACAAGACTGCTCGTATATCAGCGCGATGTTATGGGGTTTCAAGATTGTCTAGTCGGCCGATTTGGGTTTATAAACTCGCGATAGGTTTCATGCTAATAATCGGTTTTAGAAATTGTTTCAAAGTATTGAGGCGACCTATTTTGTCTATTTTCCGGGTTGACCTCCATAGACCAAAAATGCTAATCATACAATTCCATATACTAAGTCTATGAAAAAGTACTAGCCATACAAATTCCATACATTTTGCTAAATTGGTGTCATCGATTTTTGAAAGAATTTTTTTCTTGTTTTGTCATAAAAATCGGTGTATCGTACTAAATAAAAAAGAAACTTATATGGAATTTCTGAAATTGCCCCAAAAATTGTTTTTTTAACCGCAAATTGAATTTTGTAATGAAACAAACATTTTCCAAAAAAAATTGCACACTTATGTTGAATTCTTTTTCCTTTTTGCTCAAATTTTTTTATCAAAAACTCTAAAAAATCTTATACAATTCAGGTCGTTTTCCATGCATTGTAAATGCAAGACGATCAAACCTTTGCTGACTCTAGTTGTGAGTACACCATGGTTTTTGTCACAAGTGTTAGGTCACGAATACACTCCAAAAATTTTGAGAAGTTAAATTTAAAATAATCATTTTTGTTTGGTTTATGGGAAAATGCTAGTCTTACAATTTCCACATATAAAAAAATCACTAATCATAGACCTATGGAATTGCATATTTTAATTTCTGTACTTATGGAATTGCATGAAAAGTGTATGATTATCGTTTTTCCATATATGAAAATTGTATGGCTTACATTTTTGGTCAACCCGGGTTACTACTTCGCTATATGCGAAACAAAGTAAAGCCTTGAATGTTCTGACTGCCCTTTAATTGTTCTCAGATAATTTGGTAAATTAAATTTTGTCGAAACTATGATTTTTAGGCTGACAATAACAAAAATTAAGTGTGACAAATTGAGCTTGGATTTAATAAAATCAATGAGCTGCCTCAATTCAATTTTGAATGACTATGTAGTGCGGGACAATAAAACAAGCCGTTTTAGCCATACTCATGGCACGAAACTGTAATGGTGTGCAGTTTGTCCCCCGAGGGACCAGAGTTTTGCAAAAAAAAGTCTGTATAAAAACTACTCCGAGCGTATATATTCCTCAGTTTTCATCAAAAATCGGAACAACAAATAACTTCAATTTAAATAGAGAGACCGAGATTTTTTTCAAAAATAACCTCAAAACAAATTTAGATTTTTCCTTTCATTTTAAAAAAAAACTGTCGTCCTTTTTTCGAACTCAATCGGAAGAAGATTTAGGAGGGTTTTGCCCTGATACGAGCAACCTTGTTTTCAATTTATCACCCCTTACGCTAAATACAAACTACGAAAGGAGATATCTAACAGCTTGTATCCTAATAATACAACCAAATGATTTATTTTTACGACCATTTTTTTAGAAGCACTTTCAAGTTTTCCATAAGTCTAAATATTGAACGCTTTTTCAATTGTTTGAGTACTAAAAAGAGAAAATATGAACTCGATAAATATTAACAACACAAAAACAAAAAGCCTTTGCAAAAACTCTGGAAATGTTTTGCTGTGTATTTTCTCTGAAAAATTTATGGATCAAGTTAACATTCTTCCCCTATCTAAGCTAAGTTTATATCTTCTTTTCACCTTTTTATTTGGAAAAAACTTTCGGTGTGTTGCATGTAAATTGCTTGATTCTGATTGGTTGATGATAATAGCTTAAGATCTAGCTAAAAACCTCCTTCCTACCTCACTCTAAGGAAAAAAAATTGGTCCAAAATTAATTTTCAGACAAACAAGTGAGAGTATTTTGTGTTCAGAATAAATATTCATTTATATAAATATATGTTTTAATTTTTTTATTCTAATTTTTGTCGTTTTGTAGAAAATGGGGAGTGGGGACTGATGATAGTTAGGTTTGTAGAAGTAACAATCAATTGTTTTATCAGCCTATAATAATAAAAATTTTGCAAATTCTGCTGTGAAGAATCACAAGTTTTATAATATTTTTACTCAAAAAGTAGAATAACTTTATGAAATTATTTGAGGGAAAAAGTTTTAAAAATCCATCTGAATATAAAAAACCCCCACACTTTAGTTTTAAAAATGTTTTGGATCAAACTAACATATTCCTTTAAAACGAGTAAGACAAGAGGTTAGACGTTTTCAGACTTTCCTGCATTATAGAATTTTTAAGGTTTTTTCGAGCAGTACAGACAGGTCACAGCCAAGATGGGTAGTTCCATACTTGCACCACTGAAAAAAGAGTGTTTTTTTTGCACCGGCGTGACTATTTTCCGACCGAAATTCTCATACAATTGTACAATTGTTGCTTTTGATTTTCTGCGGGCTGAATTTTTGTTTGCCAATTATACAATATCAGTCGTAAAAACGCCTATTTTGGCTGATAATGTAAGATCAATTAACTGATCACGAAGTCTATCGTCTCCCTACTGTATCATTGTTTTTCCGACTTTCGAAGAAAAACTTTCGACTTTTTGTTTATATATATTATGCTCGGGTTGGTTTTCTTATTCAGACCAATTTTACTAAGCGCTGCTCACTCGATGGATCGACCGCTTGATCTGCAGTGTCCCAGATGGGTCTGCACACCCATATAGCTGTTTCTGCACACCCCTTTAACGGAAGCTCTTTCCGAAGAAGAAAAAGAACAACAAGAATTTGAAAATTTCATTGACACCGTAGCGTGAAGACCCTCAAAACCTTGAAACTGAGAGGTACTTTGCAGCTAGTATTTTTCAGAAGAGAAGAATTGTCTGTGGAACTTCGCAATAGCAACCACAATATATGGATTCGCGTTTTTTGATTCCGACTTCAAATTTGCTTGAAAGATTTTTCAGTGCTGCCGAATATGCATATTCTAATATTCGGCAAAGTTTGATGCCGCATAATCTTGAAACGCAGTTATTTCTGAAAACCAACAAAAAATATTGGGACAACGAACTCGTTAAAAAAAGTTGTTAAAAAGAATGATGATTTGTGCGTGCAATTTATAGTACAATCAATTGCAATTTAACTTTTGGTTGTTCCAATTAATTGCAATTTAAACTTTTATTGTCAAATTAATTTTTGTTCTGCCCTGGCCTCGAGTCTGCCTAAACTGCTCTTTTTGTTCCGACTTTCGATACGTTAGTAGCGGAATATTTGTGCTCGGGATGGGTTTTTTTTTCTTCAGACAAATTTCGACTTTTTAACTAGCCATTTTTGACGGAATTTTTTCTATATCATTCAAAAAGTATTGTTGTCCTGAGCTTAAACTTGAAAAGATATTTCACCTGTGATCACTTTTCATAAAATCATGGGGGTAAAAGATTGGCATTTTGGCCAATTTGGGACAATTAACGCGCAATTTAATTTGCTCTATTACCGCGTTTGCGGAGATTTAATCCGTCTTAGAAATCGTTCCAAATTGGTTCAAAGAAATTTTTTTGCCATAATTTATTTGTTACAAGGAGCAAATTCTATCGTTTTGTACTTATTATTGCGTGTGGGGAGATTACATTTATAAAAAAAGTTCGAATTTTAGAAGAAAAAAATTTTCGTTTTATTTTATTACATTTAATTTTTTAATGTTAATATACTGCTCCGTAAACCTTAAAAGGCAGTCGGAACATTCAGGGCTTCGCCCTGATACGAGCATTCTTGTTATAATTTATCCCGCACTAGAAAATTGTTCCAAATTGAATGGAGGCAGCTAATTTGTGTTATTAACTCCATCCTCGACTCAAATTGTAACACTTAAATTTTAATATGATCAGTCTAAAATTCATAGTTTTGTCAAAACTGAATTACCAAAAGTTTTGCTTCCTCTGAGTAGAAACTTTTGCGGTTCGAAAACGCCAATCGGTAATTTTTAAGATCTTATATAGGTATCTGAATGCGCAAATAATGCGTTATTGCGACTGAATGTTCCTTGCGTTACTGCGACTTTATTGCGACTGAATGTTATTGCGACTTTATTGCGTTATTGCGACTGAATGCTCCTTGCGTCCTTGCGTTATTGCGATTCATGCGTTATTGCGACTTGAACAGCTTTATATTTAGGTCTTTTCAACAATATGACCTGTATTCTGCAAACAAACTCGAACCAATAAATGTTCAGGTTTTCGCGACCAAAACTTGGTATCCCCAGACTTTCGCGACCGAAACCGCGACTTTCTCGGCTTTACGACCAGACATTTGCTACCCGGGTCGAGATCCCGCTCAAAAACCGCTCAAGATATGAGCGGTTTGAGCGGTTTTTCAGCAAGATTTGAGCGGTTTGAGCGGTTTGGGGCGGTTTGGGCGTTTTTTTCGGAAAAACCGCTCAAACCGCTCAAATCTTGCTTAACAATGAGCGGTTTGAGCGGTTTTTGAACGGTTTATCTAAAAAAAAAACCGCTCAAGATTTGAACGGTTTTGAGCGGTTTATCTAAAAAAACCGCTCAAAAACCGCGCAAAATTTGAACGGTTTTGAGCGGTTTATCTAAAAAAAAACTGCTCAAAAACCGCGCAAGATCTGAACGGTTTTGAGCGGTTTATCTAAAAAAACCGCTCAAATCTTGCGCGGTTTTCGAGCGGTTTTTTTAGATAAACCGCTCAAAACAGTCCAAATCTTGCGCGGTTTTTGAGCGGTTTTTTTAGATAAACCGTTCAAAAACCGCTCAAACCGCTCATTTTGAAGCAAGATTTTGACCGTAATTGTCTAAAAAACCGCTCAAACCGCTCAAATCTTGCTTCAATTTAGGTGAAAAATCTCGACTCGGGTACTTAAACCCTGTTCGCTTTTGAGAATTTGTGGGTTGGGTTGACAAGCGTCGTGACTGTCTGGAAGTCTGCTAGCTGACCTCAACCCCCGGTAATCAATTACCACATGACCATTTGTTAACTAAAGCTCTTATAAATCCCTAGATACCACTATAGTGACCTTTTCATTTCATGAAGCATGATCAAATAGAAAAAAAACTAACCTAACTTGAAAAAAAAAGAGTTTCAACGACTCTCTCACCTGTTCGTGTTCAGCTCCGAAGCATGTATAAATAGTGATGGTGGTTGTTGGAACGAGGAAGAATATGCCAATAGCAGACAGAGCACAACTCGCCCAATAACACAATCCGCCCTCTTTGTCACTTGTCTTGACGTAGAAGGGGGTGGGAGCTGCCGAGAATGGCTGCATTTCAGTTATTGGGCTGTGGTCGTCCAATTTTGAATCATCGTCGGGATTCTGTTTTAGTGTTATTCCTCCGAGTTTCTGTAGCTCCTAATAATTCCATTGGATGATGAAAACATGATCTCCTTTCCAAAAAACTGCAATTTGTTGCATAACAATCGCAAAATTTTTCTTATTGTTTCGATTTTTGTTTTCCCGGAAGTACCGGAAAAGTACCGGAATATAGTGGAGGAAGAAGATTTTCAGGGGTTGCTATTAAAATCTTTAGTTAAAAGCTAGTTAATAGCAGATTAATCGACGCTTACAACAAAAGTTGGTTTTAAATGAGTTGGTCTGAAAATTAAATATTCGACCATGATAAACCAAAAAATTTCATACCGTTTTTGTTGGCATTGCGACAATCAATTTTTTTTTGGAATCTCGAATCGCGAACAAGAGGAATCAATACGATGCTACACTTGATCTCCCCAAAATTTTCTTACTTCTTGCCTAAAACTTTTCCTTTTACGTGGTCAGATTAAAAAATTAAACTGACTCTAACTCATATACAACTTCACTCTTTTTCGAGATACCGAGGTTTTCAGGTTTTTTTTTCTAAATTTTTTCACCAAATTCCAAAAATTTATTTGTAATAGAAATTTTTTCTCCAAAAGTTTGGCTAAAGGTAGCTGTTTTTCGGAGTAGCAGGTCCCCCTTTCTTTTCTTTCTAATTTCTTGATTCGGAATTTAAAAATTATGTAGTTTTTGATCTTTTTATATGAAAATAATTAAAGCAATCATTAAAAAATTTGTCTCTTCTTTTCTTGTTATATTTTTGGTGCCTTGAACATCAAAGCTAAACAGTTAGTGAGCCAGCAGGTCCTGTCAGGGGCGGATTAAGGGGGTACCCTCTTTCCCTCAGGGATTTTCGACCCCCTCACCAACCAAAGGTTCCCCCTTTGGTATTTTTTTATGACATCCATTTTAGGCCGACCAATCCTTAAAATTTTCTAAAGGACGCGCCTTTAGCGCCAATATATACTTGATTTGAAGGGGAGTGCGCGCCAAAAAAACGCAATTTTTGTCAAAATTTGGGCGCTATTGTCTTCCGGGAGTGCTCGGAAAATCAAAGTGGTCGACCTAAGAAATAAGTAGACACATTTTTTGAAAAATATCTGACAATCGCCCCTCCCTCCTTCCTCGAGAAAACCCTAGATACGACCCTGGGCCCCGTTTTCTATCCGGCGCTGAATTTGACCAAATATTGTTATGTATTTGACCAAACATGTATTTTTAGATGGGGTGTTTGAAGTGTGATTGAAAAGAGTTCAATTGACACCTACCTTGAGTTTTTTAGTTATTTGATCGACTGGAGTATGTGGCAGGGGATCTCGCATTAGCCAGTCGAAGTTGGGCGGGTGGCCCATTTCCATCCAAAAGTTTATAATCTGACAATGCAAAGCACCAGATGCCATAGTTAGGTTTCAAACTATCGTAAGTTTTGATTGAATTATAAAAGACTTTATGAATTTATACGTCTTAATAGTTTCAGTAAACCCTTGTTAAATCTTGTATATAAATCGAGAGGTTAATTCATGCTAAAACTGAACGTGAACCATTTTGAGCGTTTGGTTTGACTGTACATAAGCTAAGACTAGGCAGGCTACTTTGTAGTTGGTAGCTTCAGAATTACGTGACCGAGAATATCATGCAAGTGTTATTCAGAGCTACGTTTAAGCTCTCGAAGTCTTGCTGTTATCGCGCAGGTTGTGCCACTTGATTTTTCCTGTGTATGAAGTGTTCAATTGACATAAGTATTCCAAAGTAGCGCGCCAATTCTGGATAGCTTTTTAAAAGTCAAATGTTTTTGTTAGGTTCCACCAGAATTTAGAAAACTTTGTCGACATAATTGAACTTTTTGGGTTTTAAAAGTTTCTCCTATGTCTGGTCCAAAAAAACCAATAGTTTGAATGTTTGGCAATTAATGGAAAAACAATTTTTTTCTTATAGGACAGAATGATGAATGTATTTCACTCGTTGATTTACTTTTTGTCAAACTTCCTTAGAAACAAAACACCAATTTGCTTCACTTGCTCTACCATCATCGTTTTTTGCAATCCTAACCAGATATGAAATAGTTTGAATCGAACTCCAGGAGACCCAACTAGAATAGCTAAGCAATTATTAATTTTTTCATTCGGCATCGGGCCAGTGATATCGATCCTTTTCAAAAGAAAACTTGAAACTATAGTTTCTATGAGAAGACAACCAACTGTGATATACAGTTGTATGGTTTTTATTTTTAGGATCGAGAACCAATTTTGCCGTATCAGATCCTATAAACATAAAATCTTTCGAGATAAAATCATCAATAAAAATTTTTTATCAAAGAGATATGTTCCAAATTTGTTTTCTAGAAACCCAGGGTTGGCAACTGGTTGCATTTTCGAAAACTGCAAATCAAGTTTTTCAGAGAATTCAAATTATTTTTTAAAGAAAAGGGTTCTTTGCTTAAACAGCAATATTTGATTCACGAGTGAGCGCTTTCGTATTGGAATCAGTTTGAAACCAATATTTTTTATCAAATTATATTCTCTCATAAATATCACTGCCAAACATTTAGAACTAACCAATCCCTATCCACTATAGAGACTTCTGAACATTTGTAATGCTGAAACTACTTATAGTTTCAGCCAGAGAAGAAGTTATTTAACTTAGAAAGCAGTTGATCTTCCTCTCCTCATACCTCGCAAGAATATCAGTATACACTAGATCCATTGAGACTAAAAAATATAAGAGTAATATCAGGATCGGTATTAATTTGCACAAAGTTGCACCAGTCTATCCTTCCAAAGTTTAGATAGCGTGACGAACAGACAATGTGCCCTATACAGAATTACTCTATGAGAAAGCCATCCCAAAACTAAATTCATCTGGTGCGACCAAAGTCTCAAGCCGAACTATTTTTACATAGGTTTACGTTTTGTCTTTACATTTAAGTTTTGTAACTTTTGATTGAGTTAATTCAGACCTTGTAAATTTTTCCGTCTTAATGGTTTCCGTAAAACCTTGTTAAACTTTGTATATGTTTCCAGAAGTTAAGTCATGCTAATACTGAACGTGAATCAGTTTGAGCGTTTGGTTTGACTGTATACATGCTAAGACTAGACAGGCTACTTGGTAGTTGGTAACTTCAGAATTACGTGACCGAGAAGATCATGCAAGTAATATTCAGAGCTATTGTTAAGCTGTCCAAGTCTTGCTGTTATCGGGCCGATTTAGCCACATGATTTTCCCTTTTTTATGAAGTGTTCAGTTGACATAAAAATTCTGAGTTAGTGCGACAATTCTGGATAGCTTTTTAAAAGTCGATTGTTTTTGTTAGGTTCCACCAGTTTTTAGAAAACCTTGTCGACATAATGGTATTTTCTGGATCTTAAAAGTTTCTCTGATGTCTAGACCGAAAAATAGCCAATAGTTTGAATGTCTGGCAAAAAATGGAAAGAATTTTTTTTTCTTATAATATAATTGTTCAAAACATCCGCAAAAAACTTGCGCGGTAAAAGTGATTTTTTTGTTAAGAGACAGAATGAAGACCGTATTTCACTCGTTGATTTACTTTTTGTCAAATTTCTTTTGAAACAAAACACCCATTCGCTTCACTTGCTCTACCCTCATCGTTTTTTGCAATCCTAACCAGATTTGAAATAGTTCTAATCGAAACCCACAAGACCCAACTAGAATGGCTTACCAATTAATATTATTTTTTTCATTCGGCATCGGGCCAGTGATATCGATCCTTTTCAAAAGAAACCTTGAAACTATAATTTCTAAGAGAAGACAACCAACTGTGATATACAATTGTATGGTTTTTATTTATTCATAGGATCGAGAACCAATTTTGCCGTATCAGGTCCTATAAACATGAAATTTTTCGAGATAAAATCATCAATAAAATTTTTTTATCAATGAGAAAGATTCCAACTTTGTTTTCTAGAAACCCAGGGTTGGCAGCTGATTGCATTTTCGAAAACTGCAAATCAAGTTTTTCAGAACATTCAAATTATTTTTTAAAGAAAAGGGTTCTTTGCTTAAACAGCAATATTTGATTCACGAGTGATGGCTTTCGTATTGGAATCAGTTTGAAACCAATATTTTTTTATCAAATTATATTCTCTGATAAATATCACTGCCAAATATTTAGAACTAACCAATTCTTATCCACTATAGAGACTTATGAACATTTGTAATGCTGAAGATACTTATAGTTTCAGCCAGAGAAGAAGTTATTTAACTTAGAAAGTAGTTGATCTTCCTCTCCTCATACCTCGCAAGAAATCAGTATACACTAGATCTATTGAAAATAGAAAACATAAGAGTAATATCAGGATCGGTATTAATTTGCACGAAGTTGCACGAGTCTATCCTTCCAAAATTTAGATAGCGTGACGAACAGACAATGTGCCTTATTCAAAACTACTCTATGAGAAGGTCAGCCCAAAACTAAACTCATCTGGTGCGACCAAATGAGTGTAAAGCAGACATATTTTTTCGTAGGTTTAATTTTTGTCTTTACATTTAAGTTTTGTAAATTTTGACTGAATTAAACCAGAATGTATTTCACTCGTTGATTTACTTTTTGTCAAACTTCCTTAGAAACAAAACACCAATTTGCTTCACTTGCTCTACCATCATCGTTTTTTGCAATCCTAACCAGATATGAAATAGTTTGAATCGAACTCCAGGAGACCCAACTAGAATAGCTTAGCAATTATTAATTTTTTCATTCGGCATCGGGCCAGTGATATCGATCCTTTTCAAAAGAAAACTTGAAACTATAGTTTCTATGAGAAGACAACCAACTGTGATATACAATTGTATGGTTTTTATTTTTAGGATCGAGAACCAATTTTGCCGTATCAGATCCTATAAACATAAAATTTTTCGAGATAAAATCATCAATAAAAATTTTTTATCAAAGAGATATGTTCCAAATTTGTTTTCTAGAAACCCAGGGTTGGCAACTGGTTGCATTTTCGAAAACTGCAAATCAAGTTTTTCAGAGCATTCAAATTATTTTTCAAGAAAAGGGTTCTTTGCTTAAACAGCAATATTTGATTCACGAGTGAGCGCTTTCGTATTGGAATCAGTTTGAAACCAATATTTTTTATCAAATTATATTCTCTCATAAATATCACTGCCAAACATTTAGAACTAACCAATCCCTATCCACTATAGAGACTTCTGAACATTTGTAATGCTGAAACTACTTATAGTTTCAGCCAGAGAAGAAGTTATTTAACTTAGAAAGCAGTTGATCTTCCTCTCCTCATACCTCGCAAAAATATCAGTATACACTAGATCCATTGAGACTAAAAAATATAAGAGTAATATCAGGATCGGTATTAATTTGCACGAAGTTGCACCAGTCTATCGATCCAAAGTTTAGATAGCGTGATGAACAGACAATATGCCCTATTCAGAATTACTCTATGAGAAAGCCATCCCAAAACTAAATTCATCTGGTGCGACCAAAGTCTCAAGCCGAACTATTTTTACGTAGGTTTACGTTTTGTTTTTACATTTAATTTTTGTAACTTTTGAATGAATTAACTCAGACTTTGTAAATTTTTCCGTCTTAATGGTTTCAGTAAAACCTTGTTAAACTTTGTATAAGTTTCCAGAAGTTAAGTCATGCTAATACTGAACGTGAATCAGTTTGAGCGTTTGGTTTGACTGTATACATGCTAAGACTAGACAGGCTACTTGGTAGTTGGTAACTTCAGAATTACGTGACCGAGAAGATCATGCAAGTAATATTCAGAGCTATTGTTAAGCTGTCCAAGTCTTGCTGTTATCGGGCCGATTTAGCCACATGATTTTCCCTTTTTTATGAAGTGTTCAGTTGACATAAACATTCTGAGTTAGTGCGACAATTCTGGATAGCTTTTTAAAAGTCGATTGTTTTTGTTAGGTTCCACCAGATTTTAGAAAACCTTGTCGACATAATGGTATTTTCTGGATCTTAAAAGTTTCTCCGATGTCTAGACCGAAAAATAGCCAATAGTTTGAATGTTTGGCAAAAAATGGAAAGAATTTTTTTTTCTTATAGTATGATTGTTCAAAAAATCCGCAAAAAATTGCGCGGTAAAAGTGATTTTTTTGTTAAGAGACAGAATGAAGACCGTATTTCACTCGTTGATTTACTTTTTGTCAAACTTCTTTTGAAACAAAACACCCATTCGCTTCACTTGCTCTACCTTCATCGTTTTTTGCAATCCTAACCAGATTTGAAATAGTTCTAATCGAAACCCACAAGACCCAACTAGAATGGCTTACCAATTAATTTTATTTTTTTTTCATTCGGCATCGGGCCAGTGATATCGATCTTTTTCAAAAGAAAACTTGAAACTATAATTTCTAAGAGAAGACAACCAACTGTGATATACAATTGTATGGTTTTTATTCATAGGATCGAGAACCAATTTTGCCGTATCAGGTCCTATAAACATGAAATCTTTCGAGATAAAATCATCAATAAAAATTTTTTATCAATGAGAAATGTTCCAACTTTGTTTTCTAGAAACCCAGGGTTGGCAGCTGATTGCATTTTCGAAAACTGCAAATCAAGTTTTTCAGAACATTCAAATTATTTTTTAAAGAAATGGGTTCTTTGCTTAAACAGCAATATTTGATTCACGAGTGAGCGCTTTCGTATTGGAATCAGTTTGACACCATTATT